GAGGTGCAACAAAAAGGGATGCGAAGGCATCTGGGGGGGGGGGTCGTGGGGGTGGAGGTGGGGGGTCTCAGGACCGAGAAGCGGGTGATGTTTAGAACGGTGAAGGGAAATGGCGGTGTTCCAGGAGCGGGGCAATACTCCATGGCTCAATCCCAGGGGGATGGGGGCTGTTGGGGTTCGCCGTCAGAGGCTGGGAAAAAGGTTGACTCAAGACCCTTGGTTTACAACGAGTGAATAGAGGGCATATGCTTGCAGTGGACAGAGGGCATGTTTGCCGAAGCAAAGCAGAGAGGGGGATCGCCCTTCTACAAAACATTATACACCAAACCGTCCTAACACCTATGGACCATTTTAAACACAGCTGTTTTGCTTCCAAATTTAAATTTCCAAACTTCCAAATTTCCAAATCCATAGATCATACAACCTCGAGATGCGGCCGAGGAAAAAAAGTCGGAAAATTGGAAGCGAAAGCTGCTGTTAAAAACGGCCCCGACAGGGGCACGGAAGCAGATCATGACGGTCCGACAACAGAAGGAAGGTGACGAATGAATCGCTCAACCAAATCCTCGATAAGCTAGATACAGCGGGGGCGACGTCAGGTTGGCCACGCGCACACAAAACAGCAGTTGGCGACAAGAACCTACCGTTTTACCAGACGTAAACGGCCGTCAAGATCGACAAAACAACACGATAACCACCAGCATAATCATCAACAACAACGACGACCAACAACGACAGCAAAGGGATCTGTTGTAGAGCAGCAGCACCGTTTGTTCGTCGGGCTTGGCGACGGGCCAACGCTTCAAACAACGCCGCCTCGGGAGCTAATGGGTTAGAGTTGGGCACGTGCACGACCTCAATGCGAGCTTACTCGCTCGACACACACACACAGAGAGAGAGAGAGAGAGAGAGAGAGAGAGAGGCAGACAGACAGATAGACACATAGAGAGATAGAGAAAGACTCTAGGTCGTGACCTCACTTTGAGTTGAATGTGTTCGCCGCCTTCTGATCGTTGGGCTTGATGCACCGGATGTACCACGGCTCGCACGTGTCCACGAGCTCCATCAGATCCAGCAGGGCCTTGCGGAACTTGAAGCCCAGCGTCGTTAATCGCCGCGGGTTGTTGTCCTGCACACACACACAAAACGCAAACAAGAGAAAGAAAAACAAATCAGAATTATATGGATACGATAGCGGTGGAAGCACTTTCGGTAAATGATTTCAGACTAATGCAGGGAGCGCCTCCGAAGTGGGCTCATCAGACCAGTGTCATCCAGGGGGAGGGGGCGTCATCCAGGGGGGGGGGGGGGGGGGGACCCTTTTTTTTTGGATGCCTTAACGGGTAAAACCTGGACCATGGGTCCCCCAAAGGAAGGAACATTTTTCCCCCAGGACCCCTCCCCGAAGGGCAATCTTTCCTTCCTACTTTTGCCAAAGGGGGCCCAAAAATGTTTTCCCCAATTTGTTTTTCCCAAAAAAATCCCTTCCCCCCTTTTTAAAACATTTTCTACTCCCCCAAAAAGCTACCGGCTTTTTTTTTTTCCATGCCTCAAAAATTTCCCTGTACCTCCCTTGTATTTTTCCCAGCTCAGTCATGTACACTCCCCTCTCCTTTTCGTACAACTGACATTCCGCGACTACGTGAACACGGTCTTCGCACTCGAAGACGCAATCACATTTGAACTTGTCGTCTTCGTCGTCTACCGTCCTATGTCTTCGTCGACGTTCTCGAAGGCTTATGTCCCCGGTCCTGAATTTGACCTTAAGCTTTGTTCCTGCATCCATTGGTCCATGTAGGTAATCCTTGAACCCAATTCCTTCTTTCAACATTCCGTACACTTCTAAACCCTCCTTATCCTCGGGTTCGTTCTTTCCTTAGATAATGTTCTTCTCTGTCGGCACAAGCAACAGATATCTTCTCCTTGAACCCCTGTAGACCCTCCGTTTCAAGCGTTTCATCTTCGTCGATTTCGAACCCCTTCCATACGTCCTCTACACCCTTGACCCATTCCGTGGGTTGTCTACCCCTCTTTTTGTTTGCCCACTTCGCCTCCCATACTACTCTCGGCAACCTCTCCTCTCCCATCCCGCACATGCGATACTGCCATGTCAGCTTCCTTACGTCTCTTCCCGACCATAGGATTGGATCCCCAATTCTGCCTTGATGGCTGCATCGCTTGTGCGCTTGGAGCATCCTAGGATAATTTTCGCTGCTTTCATCTCCGCGGCCTCGAGTTCTTTCACTTTAACTTTACACATTTTTGATAATACTTTACCCAAATACATCATCCCAAATATTAACGCACCCTAAAAAGCTTAATCCTGCTATAATAACAAACGAAAAAATAATATTAAAGAGCATATTCACGAGGAAACAAGTAATAATTTTTTGTATCTAAACACATCTTTAATTTAACCTTTAGCGATCAACCACCAGTGTCACCCAGGGGGGGTGTAAAATGAAAGTAGAGCATGTATGTGCCGGTGTGAATCAGCTGCCAGCTGCCATCAGTGATGTTTCCCAAGGTCGAGCAGCTCACACAGCCAACGTGTTTCTAACTCGAAGAGCCCAGCGAACCTCAACGAATAAAATTGAAAAATGAAAAAAATCTGTTTATTACAGTCTTACGTATGAATGTGCAGTCTTAACGTATGAATGTGTTCGAAGAGGGCCGCACACACGTGCACACAACACACAATACGCAAGGACCAAGGGCAAAAGGAAAACTGATTCTAGGGCTCGTGGAGAAAATCCAAGCATGGGGGGGATAAACATGCTCAAAGAGAACGGGGGGGGTAGAGTGGTGATCAGTTTACCGAGGGATCGTTCAAGAGAGCGTGAGCGAGCGTATAGGGTCTATCCTCCAAGACCGTACCCCCAAGCAAACAACGAGCGTGCGGAAGCACACACGCAAAAGCACACACAAACCGAACCACACACAGGCCCACGTAAAAGAACGCCAGCCTAACCTTGGGAGGGAAAAGGGACCGCGTGACGTCGCTCTGCGCCCCGGACACCAGGTCGTAGAGGTCCCTGAACAGGTCGTCCTTGTTGGTGGTCACGAACCCGCCTATCTCGTACGGCACCTCCCCGGCGTAGTGGACGACCACGAAGCGGTTGGGGTTGGACCCCGCCGGCCGCAGGCACGGGTGCTGCGCGTTGTGGGTCTTGCACTTGGAGAGCCAGCCCCCGTCGGAGCCCTTGGGGATCTTGACCTCCTCGTCGAGCAGGGGCATCAGCCCGTACGGCTGCTCGACGGGGGGGGGGGGGGGGGAAAAAAAAAAACGGTGTTGTTTGTTTTGGGCCCAAGAATTCATGGCGG